ACGAGGGTATTTTTTTTTTAAATGTATCTTTTGTTAAAGTTTAATTCTTTTATAATTAAGAAGTATCAAGAAGTATCCAGATTAAGAAGCATTTTGACTCACTGAAATAACCTTAGAAACCGCGTATAGATACAATATAGGAGTTAGTAAAATAGTGCCAAATTATTTGCAGCCACGTTTGGCTGAGGAAACAACCGCACACCGCTAAACCTCTTAAACTCTTAAACTTACCGGCAAAGTTAGACAATGTTTTATCGAGCACGAAGGCAAATACATCGATGCATGGAGCTTATCAAAAGTAGTTCCAGCTGGGCCTCACTTGCATAATTATCAGACCGGGATACGAAGTTTATCGGATTGGATTATCGCGTAAATAACTGTTCAATATACGATTAATTGATGTTGCAAAGCCTTCATCGAGCTCAAACACTAATCCATGACTAAGGTCGTCAGTCACGCCCAGACCCAGGGTCGAGTCCCCACTGTGTGGTGTCCGTGCTTATTTTCCCGGGTATGTTTGTTTGTTTGTTTTAGTTGTTGTTTAACGCCGCACTCAGCAATATTCAAGCTATATGACGGCGGTCTGTAAATAATCGAGTCTGGACCAGGCAATCCAGTGATTGACATCATGAACATCGAACCACGCAATTGGGATACGACGTCATGCATCAACAAAGTCAGCGAGCCTGACCACCCGATCCTGCTAGTTGCCTCTTACGAATAGCGTCGGGAAGTGGTTTGAATGTTGCTTAAAGCGGCGTTCAATCGCTTTGAACGGGGTTCACAGATGGCTAATGGTAAGACAAGAATAACAACGTCTTTAATTATTGTAAAGGCGACGTTTCGGTATAGATTCTATACCGTTGTCAAGCAAGAGTGAATGATGGACATGGTGTTGTTGTTGTTGCATTAGGTGTTTAAGAGGTCGCCTTCTGCCTAGGCAATTTCGGCTGACCTGTCCCTCTTTGGGACTCCTGTGTGTGAGAAGGGTTCACATATCTATTGTGAGTTCGGTGTTCACATAATTTCTGTTTTTGCATTGATATGATTTCTATTTTCTTTTATTGATATGATTTCATTTTTATCCTTGGCTGCTCTGTTTATATACGTTCGAGCAGCTGTCCATCTCTCAGAAATAGAGTTAGTTTGGCCTTCGCTATTGCATCTCTTGGCTTTAGGAGATCTATGACAGATAGCGGATCTAACTGCAATTCTTGTTTTAACCTAGCCCGGGCTGGGGCATGGTCTTGACCTTCTAGTAACAGGTGGTCAATGGTTTCAGCCTGATTGCAAGATGAACAAACCTTGTCGTAGTGCTTTTTGTGACCAAGTCTGAGGCGTGAGATAGCAGTTTCAATTTTCCTTTCATTTGAGTATGAGTTTGGCTTTTGTTGGACCTTGGGTTGAATTTTGTATAGCCATCTGCCGATCTTACTTGTATGGACATGGTACAGAATACAATATATATATATAGTAGGTGGGGGATTAACAGTAACAACAATTGCATACATGAGTGGGATAACATGAGTAGGTTGAGTAATGACAAGAGAATGTCTTTTTGATAATACCGTAACAACATGATGGACAGAGAACACATAGGTGGAAGCCAATGAGACATGGAGCCAATTAAACAGGTTTACGTAGGTGTGGTGATTATTGCTTAATGAGTTCACTGTAGGCGGATGGGATGAAATAGGCTTGATCTCTGTTGATTGATGGCTTGTTGCGGCGAATGTGGACTGCTTCTGTTAGTTTTCTTTTAGTGAAGTCATGGAGGTTGGAGAGGATTTGGACGTTTTCCCATTTGATGTTGTGAGTGGGGCAGTTGCTGATATGGTCCGAGATGGCTGATTTACTATCTGGTTCGATGTTGAAGTTTTGTGCTCTTTGATTCTGGTGTTGATGGGGAGGGATGTTTCGCCTACGTAGAATTGTACACAGTGGCAGTCAATTTTATAAACAACACCTTTAGGCTCTTGGCGTTTGGTTGTGTTTCCGCCGTTGGCTCTTAGTAGGGTATTGAAATGTAAACTTACACAGATGAGTACATATCTAAATAAGAAATATTCGCTCGCAATTTGAAGCACACTGGACGTATTGACATGTTTTATATTGATTGATAGATCGTGATCTATAAAACCTTTGCACAAAATTACTTTTACAGCACTTTAGCCCTCAGGGTTGTGTCCTAACAGGCAGTTTTAACAAGTAGTGTTGCATCGCCTAGTGTCCTTTAGTGCAGTTCAAGAAGGCGATGTGTACAAACAGCTGAGTGTCGCACGCTGTTTGTGGTGTCACCGAGTCCACACAGGATCGACAGTTGGCAGGCAATGTGTGGAGTAACGTTGTAGGCTCCGGGAAACTCAGGACAGAAGTACCGCCCTGTAAATCGCAGTGCCCTCAGACAGTTCTACCAGGAAGTACACGGTGCAGAGTAGTCTACCACTGCAACCCGCTGCCAGACAGGTACAGGCACTTGGGGTGAATACGTGTGGCTGGAGTTCGCCCAGAACTGTATGTTACAGTGGGTAGTCAATTGCCAGATAGTGTATGTTGAAGATGTATCGTCTTGTGAAAATCAGACGCCTGGGTATATACGTCATACCACACTTATTAATATCGGGCACCTGGGCATATACACGGTATCAAATATGCAATACTAAGTGCTGCGAATGTGTGTGAATTTTGTCTGTGACCCGTGAAGATCCGGGGTAGACGAGGTCTTCAGCAACCCATGCGACTATGCTTGCCGTAAGAGGCGACTAACGGGATCGGGTAGTCAGGCCTGCTGACTTGGTTGATGCATGTCATCGTATCCCAGTTGCGTAGATCGATGCTCATGATGTCATTCACTGGATTGTCTGGTACAGACTCGATTATTTACAGTCAGCCGTCATGTAGCTGGAATATTGCTGAGTGCGGCGTTATACAACAAACAAACAAACAAACAAATGTCTGTGTTGTGAAATATGAACGAAATGCCAAGTAGAGTTCGCCTACAGGTGAGACCGTCCCACGGCAATGCCCACATTATGCCCCGGGGAAGTGATGGACATCATTGTAGTCCTGATGTATGGTATCAGTAATTAAACAAGCGGGAATTACCAACGGGTGACCTGGTCATTTGATCAATTGTTACCGGTTGGACCAGTCTGGGCTGGCCAGCTTTTATTGCTTTGAAGTTGTGGAAGCGTGGCGGACCCAGGGATAAGCTCCATAGTCGGTCAAGCGTGAATATAATAAGTATACTCGTCTGGTTTGGTCCTGTCGTTGTTGTCCCGTTCCCGTTCAGTTGACTTTATGACATGGTGGCCTGCCTGTGTGCTAGAAGCTATGAGTTGAGTGTCCTCTCGGAAAGGTAAGGTATTCTCCCTGCAGTGTTTTATTGTACGATACACAACGATCACCTATCGTTTTTTATTCTTATATGATATGTTGATGTGGATAAAATGTACAAGTTTCAAAAATATGTACCAAACTTTACTATTGATGACTCCCTGAATAGAATCCGACCTCGGAAATGTCGGACAAGTCCATTTTACGAACAGATGGGTTAAGTTTGGTATTTCCCGTATATTCTCACAATCCTCACGTCGATCATCTGTACCTTTTCTCCTGAAACCGATTATCATATCTCTCCCACTCATTCGGCCACTGCGTGTATCTGCATACCCCAGCTACACCTATGGGGAACAACTTACTAGACACTTCTCTCTCAAAAATAACGTCGTCCACTTTTCGACGTCATCAAGTTGCGAACGCATATTCGAATCTCCAGAAATGACGTCATGATAAAACTATGATTATTTTTAAGAAATAAAGAACGAGTGGGGGCTGTTTATCGTACAATAAATCCATCTGGCACCTTCTGTCTTCTGTACAAGTAGATTAATTGGCATGAATGCTTCAGCTGTGCTGTGATCATTTACTCTTGTCTATGCAACTCCAGCATGCCACTGCTTGTAATGCTGACGGCAACGGACGTGCAAGTTGATTGATTTGTGATGTCTAGAGACGTGTTAACTATCCGAAATTACTTGTAGCACGCGTCAGAAATTAAGGCCACTCCACCATCAACTGCTGAACCGCCCTCCCCGGCGAGATGGCCTATTGTGATTCAAGTAACTTCAGGTCCAATGGGGTAGCCGACTAGTTAAAGCAGTCCCGGGTCTATGGAAGGTCTAAGGTTCGATTCCCCACATGGGTATAGTTGTAAAGATAATCTCTGAGGGCCAACCATGCTGGACTATTGCTAATGGCGCCGTACAACCAACTCCACCCAATCCTTCGCGGCTATGTTATTATGTCAATGTCTGCGTGTTGTGTATAGGGCATCCCACAGGCCGAACTCTCCAGCAGGTCGCATCAAACGTCTTGACGTCACTCTGTAGTATGTAGCCAGACTCGTAGTACTGCGTGGGACTTTATATCTGAACACCATCGCTTTGATGTGTCTACCTTTGAAGACAAAACACGTTGTTTCCACACCCAAGAATCAAACTAACTGTGGTGACGATGACGTGACAGTCAGTCATGTACATAAGATCATAAGTAGAGATATGTACAGTGAAGGGTTGACGAGGTGTGCTACCACGAGCAGAGTATAAGAGGACTGTTCTACCAAAGGTTCTAATTCCAGCTGTGTGCATTTCTGAATTGGTGTAAGCATTATTCAAATATTTGTGCGTGTCCTAAACTATATATATGTGTGTGTGTGTGTGTGTGTGTGTGTGTGTGTGTGTGTGTGTGTGTGTGTGTGTGTCCCATTCAGTCAAACAATTTAAAAACCTTCAAAAACTTAATTCTACATTTTGACATATTATTACAGACATGATCAGGATCCTAACCAATCAACTTTTGATCAATCAATGACATTTTACAAGGCATCCTTAGCTCTCTATGTTTGGAAAGAACTGTCATTCTATACTCTTTCCAAGCTTGGGAGGAGAGTTGTTTGTTCCTTTGCTTCAGTCAGTCCTCATGGTTCCTGTCTGTTTCAGATGGCCAGGATGCAGTCGATGCAGAGCCAATGTTGTTGCTGTGCCATCAGCGTCTTCTCCGCGCTGTTCGGGATCATCATGCTGTCTACAGGAGTCTGCCTGGTGCTCAACTACCGCATCATGGAGGTCGACACGACGGGCCTCCCTCCCGAGTGGCGAAATGAGGAGGGCAAGAAGATTGTTGGTATCATCCTCATCTGTTGTGGCATTGCTGGCATGGGGATGAGCGCCCTCATCACCGTGTTGTACTTTACGGTCTGCTCACGACCCAAAACCAAACCTGCAGTAGCCCCCAGTGGCCCTGTCCCTGGACATGCAACGGGACATGGGCCGAGACATTCAACAGGACACGGAGGGGGTAAGAGCAACAACCATCCCCCCCATACACCTGATCCATATTCCACAGAAGTGAATGGGAAGCCTAACTCTAAAGGGAAACGAGGGAAGCGGTCTACAAAGAAAAGGCCACATCTTAAAACATATAAAAATAATCTGACTACTCATAGGGAAGTAATCAATGAAAGTGAACCCCGCTATGAACACTTCGACCTGGACGAGTCGTCTCAGTCTCTAGACTCATCTCAGACTGCTTCGTCCAGAACGTCCATCAGCGGGACAGCCCAGGACATCATAGAGACCTCACTAAAGATCAAACAGCAGTCTGGTCCTCCTGTGATATTAAATGTGGACCATTTACCCAAGCTTCCGACTCAGGAGACTGGCATGCTTAAAACAATGCCCCCTCCCCCCATCCCCTCCGCGTCGGTGGAGGTAGATTCAGAGGAAGAGGAGGTGTCACAGATAGAGGAGATCAAGAAACTGGACAAACAGGTGGCCGGTCTATTAAAGTGATTTCTCCTGACAATGCCGTCTGTGAATGTTGCTTCGAGAAGGAAACAGAGATGCACGCACGAATGTGGCCAACCTATGTTTGGGCCCTCTACGAATAACACGTGTGGCACCTTCGAGGAAGTGAAAAGTAGTGGACAAGCTGTTGGTCAACGTGGTGTGTTTCTGCTGAGGATGTAATGTGCTGCTGAGATTAGGAGGACTATGGACAGAAACTGAGACAGACACTGACCACTGCCAAGTTCTGGCTCTGTCCAGGGCTGGGTATGCTGAAACTAGACAAAGTACAGGACTACGCATTGATAGCATGTCTAGAAATGTACATGTATGCTCTACATGTGAGTTGAAGAGTTAGAGGTGGATCTTGGTGTTAGTGATAGACACCTGACGAGGGTTATGTTGACCTCAGTTCGGTGTTGTATAGGACAATGTGACAGATGCACCGTTCACTGCTCACGCCATCAGTGCAACACAGGGATGGAGATTCTGTTAAAAGACGCCAGATTACCGACGTGTGATTATGTCGGAAGATTCCAAGTGCTAGAGTGTGAGTGAGCTCAAGGCCCACAAGTCACCCCCATCACTCTCCTCCCCCAGGACCCACTGACTGCAATATGTGATAATGTCTGAACAATTGTGATATTTTTAGAGATGTCATACACTCCTGGTAATGTTTCAAGAGAGAGATCGAGGATATTCATTGACAAAATCAATGTTGACTTCATCGAAAAGTACCATATTGAAATTCCGTTTGTATTTTCTCGGTTTTGTTTAAGTCTGTGTTGTCCGGTACTGGGTGTAAAAGTATGTTCACTTCAACTAGATGACTGACATGCTCGCTCTTGTGTACACATGACACGAAGTGACTCAGCAAGTGCACGTGTGACGCCCCCGGACCGTATACAGTTGTGTATACAAGCAATGGGACCCACAGGTAATCACAGAGGAAGTCGCTATGGCAACACGCGCTCTCGCTCACACCTCCTCGTCAATGTTTAGTAATGGCGATCTTGCACGACAAGCTTTTAGTCCCGACTATTTCCATTGTGATAAATGACGACTATAGACAAAACGTGATACATCGGATTTCGCTGTTGTTGAAGAATGACTTGTTATGGCGATCACATTTTCCCACAATAGCTATATCTGTGAATGTTGTAAACGTCGGCAGGGGTCTGTGACCTCATTCCCGAGTCAGCTCCAGTACCGAAGATTTTCTATATTACAATCACGCTTCATATCAGTTTTGAATCTCATCAGTTACATTGGTTACATCGGTTACAATTGTTACATAAGTTATTCCAATTGCGTGGATCGATGCTCATGGTGTCAATCACTGGATTGTCTGGTCCAGACTCGATAATTTACGTCACATAGCTGGAATATTGCTGAGTGCGGCGTTAAACAACAAACAAACAAACAAAACGAACATAGGTTACATTGGTTGCATCCGTTACCTTGGTTACATACGTCACATTGGCTACATCGTTCCTAGTAGGGAAATTGTTTTATCATTTAGATTTGTCTTATTTAAATAACTCTATTTGTTCATTTCTTTATTGATATTTGATAGTAATATATAAGAAAGTATTAATCTGTTACATGGTAGGTGACTTTCAGTTGCATTCGAGGTGTATATAATTCTTTGAACACTTTGAAGCATCACTAACGTATTGCTCACTGTCGCGGGGGCACGTGTGGCCCAGTCGTCTAAGGCGCCGCGATTCGCTTTGCAGAGTTGCGCCCCTTGGGCACGCCAGAGACCTATGATTGTGGGTTCGAATCCCAGTTCGCCCCGATTATGTTTCTAGGTTTGTCAGCACCATATCCGTGCTCGTGGGTTCTACCAAAGTGGTACACTTACTTCGGGCTTTTCTCCCACATTAAGCTGACACGCCGTGATATGACAGGACTGCTGTTATACTGTAAACCCAACTCACTCACTCACTACTCACTGTATCAGATCCTGTTATCTTTCATATCAGATCATCCATGCGATAAACCGATCCGATAAACTCGGTATGACGATGCTATGAATATGCAAATGATTTCACCCAGCAGTCACAACGTTAAATCTTCATGCAGTATCTACTTTATCACTAAGCTATTGTCTCATGTACCCAATAGGCTGACAGGGGGCCCAGATGTGTTGTAATTCTGAAGACAAACCAATGATAAATGGGGCTTTTCATTCAAACATTGTATTGATTCGAAGTTTCTACAAGTTCAGATTTGAGTAAAAGTATATCTTAATCATGGACTATTTTAGGAATGACGTTATATAATCAAGGGATTATGACCCCCATGTGTTTCCTTATCATAAATATCATATTTTAGGTATAATTAAAAGCGACAAAACCCTTTCCTTATTCATAACCAATCTCTGCCGAAAGCAGAGAAGATTGTACGATTTAGACCACCTCATGAGCTTCAGTCTCTGAATGGGCGGTCGGGTAGCCTAGTGGTTAAAGCGTTCGCTCGTCACGCCGAAGACCCGGGTTCGATTGCTGACATGGGTACAATGTGTGAAGCCCATTTCTGGTGTCCCCCGCCGTGATATTGCTGGAATATTGCTAAAAGCGGCGTAAAACCGTACTCACTCACTCACTCAGTCTCTGAATCACTATCAGTAGTGGGGGTACCAGGCGTTCGCGAAAAGATGAGCGTACCCTGCCCCACCGGTGGCACTTGCATCATGCGGGGCTAACTATGTCACAAACATAGGCTATTTACGATACAGAAACACACTCGCCTCATGATATATATTTGCAAGAGAAAGTACACATTCTGAGATATCGATAATTTCATGAGAAGTGTGCTAGACACAGTGCCTTCATTTTATTATACCCGTCCAGCACACTTCACGCGTAACACTGCAGATCACGTGATGACTAACGTGTGATTGACAGATGTCACGTCTTCGCTATCATTTAGTTCATATTGCATCTGGTTATATAGAGGATTTATCACCCATGGCAACACGCAATGCAAAATGTCGTCACCGTCTCACTCAGCATCATCAACACATCGTACGTTAGCTAAAACAACCATGAGCTTAAATCAACGTTTGCAGCATTGTTTTATTTCTTTTATATACTACTATATTCTGTTCAAGACGTTCGCTTTTTAAGGAGGCTTACGGGTAGCCTAGTGGTTAAACCGTTCGCTCGTCACGTCGAAGACCCGGGTTATATTGGCATACAGTTACTAATTGCAAGGATGAAGCCCATTTCTAGTGTTGCCCGTCGTGATATTGCTTGAAAATTGATGCGGCGTAAAACAGTATCCATCAATTCTTATGGCAGACGACAGCCGCAGAAGGACCCGTCTGTATCTCTGTGCAGAGGGTTTTCGTTGAAAGTGAGTGAGTGAATGAGTATTGTTTTACGCCGCTTTTAGCAATATTCCAGCAATATCACGACGGGGAACACTAGAAATGGGCTTCATCGTGGCAATTAGTAACTGTGTGGATAGCTCGTGTTGTTCCCACGTCTCCGACTGAAAGTGTCGTGGTGACAGCGAGCGTTCACTGCTGCACGTGTTGACAATCGGAAACTGCAGATAAGTGGGGTTTGTTAGCATTACGGATCAGTCCCTTCCCTCGTGCATGTTTACTTTATCTAATGGGAGGTCCAAGGTACGTCGCTCAGGTGTATTTGTTCTGCCAGTGGTGTGGCCCAACCAGCACGTCACCTGTTTTCGCTGCAACACTATCCGAACGGGTTCGCAGACCGTCTGTCTCCTAACTGTCAAACCTGTCTCTACTGGACAAAACATTACATTATGGCTGTGGTTGCGATCATTTCTTGAAATGTCAAGTGTGTTTTACTGTGATGCATCAATCATCGTTTGAAACATATTTGGCAATAACGGAATTGGTAGTGTTTGCAGCGGTTACAGTGTCGTGTTATTGGCTACAGGCGGGCCTATGTTGCACTTTCACACGCTGCGCCCATATCAATAAGTTTATTATGTGAACAAGACACAGATGGTGGAGAAAGCATATATTCCGAAACGTTGTGATCCACATAATAAAGAAGTTGACATCCATAAATTCTCTTCCTTAACGCACGAAGAATAATCCGCTCACTCACCAGTGGAATATCTGTTGCACGTAGTATAAGTGGACCTGGGATATCGTTGCGAGTGTTGACGGACTGCCTACACAATGTGGCTCACGCAGCCCTCCCGTCTGTGTCATCTGCTGTAGATTTCTGTGGCTATTTCTTCATGGCTCATACAATCTCTAACTGGGAGAATGTGTACATCCTATGTCATAGGATCTCTAACCAAGAGACTGTACGACTCATGTCATACAATTTATCACTGGGAGATTGTACACCATATGTCAACAATCTTTAGCTGACCGTACACCTCATGTCATACAATCTCTAGCTGAATGTACACATCATGTCATACGATCTCTAGCTGACTGTACACATTATGTCATACAATCTTTAGCTGACTGTACACCTTATGTCATACAATCTCTAGCTGACTGTACACCTTAGGTGTACAATCTCCGAGAGACTACACCTGATGTCAAACAATCTCTGAGAGACTGTACACCTCATGTCATACAATCTCTAGCTGAATGTACACATCATGTCATACAATCTTTAGCTGAATGTACACATCATGTCATACGATCTCTAGCTGACTGTACACATTATGTCATACAATCTTTAGCTGACTGTACACCTTATGTCATACAATCTCTAGCTGACTGTACACCTTAGGTGTACAATCTCCGAGAGACTACACCTGATGTCAAACAATCTCTGAGAGACTGTACACTTCATGTCATACAATCTCTAGCTGACTGTACACATTAGGTCATAAAATCTCTAGCTGACTGTACACCTTAGGTCATACAATCTCTAGCTGACTGTGCACCATAGGTCATAAAATCTCTAGCTGACTGTACACCTTAGGTCATACAATCTCTAGCTGACTGTACACCTCATGTCATACAATCTCTAGCTGACTGTGCACCTTAGGTCATGCAGTCTCTAGCTGACTGTACACCTTAGGTGTACAATCTCTGAGAGACTGTACACTTCATGTCATACAATCTGTGAGAGACTGTACACTTCATGTCATACAATCTCTGAGAGACTGTACACTTCATGTCATACAATCTCTGAGAGACTGTAACTTCATGTCATACAATCTCTGAGAGACTGTAACTTCATGTCATACAATCTCTGAGAGACTGTACACTTCATGTCATACAATCTCTGAGAGACTGTAACTTCATGTCATACAATCTCTGAGAGACTGTACACTTCATGTCATACAATCTCTGAGAGACTGTACACTTCATGTCATACAATCTCTGAGAGATTGTAACTTCATGTCATACAATCTCTGAGAGACTGTACACTTCATGTCATACAATCTCTGAGAGACTGTACACTTCATGTCATACAATCTCTGAGAGATTGTAACTTCATGTCATACAATCTCTGAGAGACTGTACACTTCATGTCATACAATCTGTGAGAGACTACACTTCATGTCATACAATCAATGATAGACCTTGTACAGCCTATATCACACAATCTCAAGCTGACATTCTTATGAGAGTCATAGAATTCAGTCAATATGTGGTGCAATTGCACATTTAAATTAATAACTGAATCATTATACACTGTGCAATGGGAATTGAAAATAAACTATTTTCATCATATTGCTATTGTTGTGGTTTGTTTTGGTAATATAATCAGTTGTGTTTGGTTGAAAGCGTCAGTGCCAGCTGTGGTGCATATGGAGGACAGTGTTTGTATTGTTACCAGTGTGCTTGTTTTGAAACTATATGAACCTACTGTTAGGAACGACCGCCTCCGTGGGCTAGTGGTAGAGCGTCCGCCCGAAGAGCGGAAGAGTCGGGGTTCGCTCCCCGGCCGCGTCATACCAAAAGACGTCAAAAGATGTTACTTGTTACCCTGTCTGGAGTTCAACATTAAGGGGCTAAAACAAGGACTCGGCTCGGGGTCAGTATACTATGTCTGAGTGGGGTATCCATGTTAAACTGCGGCATGGTATCTTAGTGGGCACTATAAATCGGCATCAGTCCGGAATAGTACAAGCACACACACGTGCATACACGTCGCTATATAAGTGCAATAATCTTGAACGCGACGTTAAACCCCATTCCACCACCTTCTGTAGGAACCTGGTGATATACGCTGACAATAAAACCTACATGACTTGTGTCTCTTCTCCACGGTGACAACAAGGCGCGGGGGGGGGGACTTGTATCTCGTGTCTACAGTGGTTCATGTGGAAACGACTGCAGCGACAAAATCACCATTCATAATAATCGGTGGAAACTATATATCTATTAAATTGATCATATAAGCTTCGGTTAATGATAGGTCAGGTCATACTGCCGTACCCTGCAGTGTGAACTTTCGTACCTCACTGTGCCAACACCTTAGCTATTTCCATTAATGTAGCCTCATTCTAAATGCAAATAATAATCTGATGGCTTCATAGTCCCAATCCACTGGACACAGATCAGACACATGTCAAAATGTACGCGTGGGACATGAATATGTAAAATAACGACGAAGCCTTCCAAAACAAAATAATTCTACCGAACACACACTATTCAGGTTTGTATACTGGTGGGACAGTGGGAGGCTCATGGGAAATTAGCTTAGTATCTAATCAATAGTGAGTGAGTTGGGTTTAACGCCGCTTTTAACAGTATTCCAGCTATAACGCGGCGTGTCAGGTTAATGTGGGAGGAAAGCCCGAATTGATGTAGGTCTCTGATGCTGACAAACCTAGAAACATAATTGGGGCGAACCGGGATTCGAACCCACAGTCATAGGTTTCTGGCGTGCCCAAGGGACGCAACTCTGCACAGCGAATCGCGGCGCCTAAGACGACTGGGCCACCCGTGCCCCCATATCAACTCAATAAGTCACTGTAATATATGTATTTATACTGCGTGCCCACTGCATTGAAAGACAATTCAATCTGTCGGGAAACCTACGAAATATAGAGCCTAAACTGTAACAGTTCCCGTGTATCCCATATGAGACCAATTTAAAGAAAATCGTCATTTCTTGATCCATGGGGCCTTTGCTACAAAACGTGGTTACCAAAGATACAGTTACATATATATTCACAGATGCAAGGCAATTGTTATAATTTAACGCAAAAACCATCTGAAGTTTATATTTACTGAGAAAACATGTGAATACCGCCCCTCCCACCTAACACACGACGTTGTCACAACGTTGTGGAAAGGTTGTGGATTGGTAACGTCGTGATATAACGTTGTCACAACGTTATTATAACGTCAACGTGCAACGTTATTTCACAACGTTATAACAACGTTGCACATTCACGTTGTGAAAACGTTGTGCATCGGACATCGCACAACGTTTTGTAACTACGTTTCTGAAACGTCGGTGTAACGTTATAGAGTTTGCTTCTCGATAGTCATAAAGGAATAGAACTGCTTTATAAAAATCAACATGAATTTGTCAGAATACCAAGGCAGTATAATGCATTACCTTTCTGTATATTCGGCATTTGAATTTTCATCTCTTAATACTAAAATTTCCAGAACGTAATTGCGTATCTCTATGACAACGTTAGTATTACGTTATATTGTAACGTTATTCCACAACGTAACAACAACGTTGCAAATTAACGTTGTGATAACGTTGTGCTTTGGACAAGTGATTGTGCAGCAACTGGAACTGGACAGATGATCTGTGAATTCGGATGAGGTAAGTTAATTTTTCAAAAGCAGTCTCCGCTTGTTGATATGTTTCTGTACATGCAGACAGTCAAATGATTTAAATGTATCGTACTATTCAGAAGTGGCGGGGTTTAGAATGCAGTTTGCCGGTCACTTTCACCGAGCGTCAGTGTTGATATTAATATTTCATACACAGAACATGATGTATATAGAGGTGAAGGAGGCCCACGACTTTTTTTCCATTTTATTATATTATGGATACCAAGGGTAATTACCAAGGGCAAGCAGTATTTGTTTGACCAGAATTCAGTCTGGCGGCGTTTTGTGGCCGTCATATTATGTTCGGGTTTCGATCGTAAGCGTATAGCTCTGTAAATAGGCCTAACTTATGCATCGCCTTCTGACCACTGACAGTTATCGCCATTTCTTCCTTGTTATTTCTGAAATCATTACCATTTAAAGTTTACATGTACTAATCTTCTGACTTTGATTTTTGTGAAACAATGTGGCTCATTCAGGCCATAGGAAAGGTTGAGTAGATTTCTTTTATACAGCGAAGAGAGGGAATCAAAACAATGGAAGTATTTTCAGATCGATTCTCTGTAGGCTGCTAGTTATAGCCTTAGTCTAAAGCGCTCAATGATGTTATGAAAAATTGTGTTTTCGGGAAGAGACAGAAACATACTTGTTTTCGAAAAGGCCTAATTAGCACTGACTGAAGTAGCCTAAATGTGGATCATCTGGTTGTTGGTGCTGTCTATAAAGTTTATTTTAGCAAGGCGCTTATCATGTGTCTTTTTAATATTTCAAAAAAAGAATCAATTCATCATTTTCCGATAACTAGATCTATATTTTCTAATGAAAACGAGTAAAAGTAAAACGAGTCTCTCGTCGCGCGCTATAACGGGGTGTTTGCGGTATTGTCCTCGCTGGTGATGATAAACTAGTCGATAATCAAAAGTTAAATATCACCATATATTGTCAGTGAGTTGGTCATCGTTTGTTGATTATCTTGGTGTAGCCAATGTGCACCAATGAAAAATACAATGCAATTGATAGCAACCATATTCGTTCGGTTTTCGATCTCAATATGTTGCCACGTAGGCTACCACACTACAGAATTATATTTAACGATATTGAACTGTATTATGTTAATAAACGTAGTAACAAATAAATTTCATATGATACTTGGTTCTCTGAAACTTTTTGACAATGAGATGGTGAACGAAAACTGAACGAGTAAGATCCAGTGCTCGCTACGAAATCGTACTGTATCTATATAAACAGCGCTGCGATGAAGATGTGAGTCGTAATTAGCTACAATGCCTCTCTAATATATCTGTTCTCGTTTGGATTCCGGTTTAGAAAAGGTCCCCAACAAACCATGTTTGTACTAACATGATTGTGTGTCATTGTACTCTGACAGAGGTTGTGAGACGTGGCTCACTATAACAATCACTGGTTTGCCTGACCGGTTTGTCAGACCGGTGTATATGGAAATCAAATTACATTAGGTGTTTGTTTTATGATGGTACTCATAATTTTGTTTCTTATATCTGTAGCCTGAGATATTTCCGATCGGACGCTATACATGGGGGCTTTAGATTTACAGTTTTTCCTAAATTTTAGGCAATTATACAATGTATGTTATCTTTTTGGATAGACTATATATTTAAATGTATGCTTATTGAATATAGTTCTAGTTTTGACTTTTTTATATGTTTTCGTTGTAGCAAGGGGGAAAATGTTACACGACCATTCCAGGAGATAAAATCAAGAATGTTGAATCATTGAGGAACACACCAAATAAACCCTGGGCTCTGAATTATGTTAACGTAAGTACAATTGTTTACAGTTACATTCCATTGTCTATATCCATGTTAATTGATTTTTTGTTTTTTTGCTTTAAATGAATGCTAAGAATGTAGATCTATTTATATAAATCTATGCTCGTACCACGTTTTGTATTCAACCTGATCCTTGATGTCTCTGAATGAATGTTAAAATTTGTTTCCATCAGACACTTGCATTATACATTATTGTTTGAATATTATTAAAGCTTTATCTCTAAATTAGGGCTGCAACGAATACACTATGAGGCGAATACGATTCATATCACGAATATAGGGTAACGAATACGAATATTAATTAACAATTACAATAACAAGTCAGAAGTTTATGTGTTATTTATTATATTCAGTGAAACAATAACAACATAATTTATTTGACATGGTTTGTTAATTATTAATAAATTATACATTTATATACTGGACTTATCCAGGTACTAGTATCTGCTCAAATGCGACAATGACCAGTGAAAACAATACTATCAAATTAAATATTATTAGAGTGTTGTCATTGAAAGAATCTATGCATATAATATGTTGTTATGGATATTTTTAGGTACAGGGTATGTAAATATACATGATAGCATATTCATAAATATTCGATTCTAGTGGCCATGAATAACGAATTCAATTCACGAATGGTTACGGTTCGATTCGCGAGTGAATCGTAACAGCCCTACTGCAAATGAATGTTTCTCGTCATATAGTATCTTTCAAATACCTGCTCGAGATTTAGTAACCTGTTTGTATTTCAGGGAAGTGGAAGTGAACATCAAAGAAAGAAGATTCTGGCATTCAATAATTTCGAAAAGTGTATAAATTTTCAATTATCTAAAATATTAAAATGTCAACACAAATGTTTCTATGAATTCTTTGTTGAATGGTGACGTCGCATGACTGAAAGTTGAAGAATACTATATGGACTTGATTAGAGACCGACCATTTGATATTCAAGGAGGTGGGGACCTGGAACTTTTCTATGGAGATTACATATATTTTCGGTCACAGCTACAAAATCAGATATATGATTTTATTTAACTCTATGAGCCTGAAGATAAGCACCTTGCAACTAGATCTATGTCATTTTTTGTGGCAGGCATTTTTTTCCCACCAATCTGAACC